ACTCCGCCCACTTCTTCGGGCACTCTTTTTCCACTTGGTGGTGTCTCATTCCTCCTGTGTAGCTATGTTCAGTGCAGCAATGCTCAGCAATCCTGTGCTCTGTTGTATTTCTTTTGTTTCACGTGAATGGTACGTCATGTGTTTGGTGTTTGTCCAAGCAACTGTAGGCTACTGTTAGTCGAGTCTGATTCGTATTTGGGGTGTTGATTGTAGTCTGGGCAATTGTGGAAGCACAGGTGTTTGACATGCGGATTGCATGCTCGCTGTTTTTGCATCGACTGAATACAGGTCCGTAAAGTCTTGACCAATTTGGGGAACAGTTGTTCGCCTGGCATGTTACTTTTCTCTCCTCCATTCCGGGCAAGTGCTCCATACGCATGTCTGTATCAAACTGTTGAAAGCAGAGCGATGAATACCTTGATGCAAGAACATGTTTGGCACTTGGTGTCAAGACGCTAATGCTGGCTAACCTTCAGTTTTGGCAAGAAAGCAGTTTTGGAATGAGATGCGCTTTTGCTCTTTTTCTGATTGGCTTTCTTGTTGTCCGTTTTCTCTTCTGTGGTGCCATTCTTTAACTAGATGATTTGACAAATTCCACGGGAAGCCCTCCTCTCCCAACCACAACGTCTTTCCCTTCTTCCCCTGTTCCAACCCCCCTACACCTATCCCACTCGCTTCTATTTCTGCGCTTAGACGAAAGAGACTGCACTGAGGCCAATTTTGTTTCCTTGCTCCCTCTCTCATCAACCAACTATAACCCGTTTCAATCAAAAACGGAAAACCTGGGGCAGGACTCGAGCCTTCAGATGAAAGTCATTCGCCGTTCGTGCCATGTAGAATGGGTCCCTGGATTGTTCTCATGAACCTCTTCGTTGGACCACTGAGCTCTGCTTCTCTGTGATGGTAGCCTGTGCAGGGGCGAAGGCATGGCTTCCATGGTAGTGAAGGCCTTGCCGATGCGAACTCTGGCTGAACAACTGTGTCAGCTATGTCTCACTCATTGTCTTCGTGCATCCCTGCATGCTTTGCCTTTCTTCGTGCATCCCTGCATGCTTGAACTTTGCATCGTTTCAACCACCGCAGATGAACTCTGAGTCGTCGCGGATTGATCCTTAAGCCACCGCAGCAAGCGCATCTCATTTGTCTCCTCTGGTCTGTTGAGACAAGGGATTCATGCTCTTGAACATCACTTGAGCGATTTTCCTCCTGTTGTTACTAAGTTATTAACGGATTGAAAACCTGCCTGAATGAAGGGGCCATGCTTTGAGAATCAGTCTGGCCGTGCATCTTATGTCTCCTTTGCCCTGTTGGGACAAGGGATTTATGCTCTAGAACATCGCTTGGGTGATTTCCCTACTACTTGCTTTTAATTAATTATTAGCGGATTGAAGACCTGTGTGAATGAAGGGACCAATCACGATTCACGATAACGACCCTCTGTTGGCAGTGCTCTCAGTCACACGGCAGACTTCTCAAGACTTGTAGAAATCGAAAATGGATTGGAGGTTTTTAAGCAATTCGAAGCACATTTTTCATGTACAAGTCCATTTCAACACTTTGGAACTTCAGTCATTTGTGTGCAAATTTCGGATGTTTTTTTTTTTCAATGCGTAGAATCCGTAGATCAAGAAAAGGCTTAGCTAAGGGAACAAATAAAAATTCCTCTGAGAAATGATAGCAAGTCGAATGCACGAGTGGTGTAACGAATCTAACGATTGTCCCGCACAAGTGGTGCAACGATTTTTTCTGCTGTCTCCAACATGAACAGATTGATTTTGAATTCTCCGTGAAGATGCGGAGTACCACCAGCTAGATGGTAAAATGCCATGCACCTTTACTAGTAGGGTTAGTCGCGAAGTGCACGGAAACATACACCGAAGAAAGGTACACCCTCCGAGTCCCTGTCAAGAAGCTTGCAGAGCTTACAAAGGTTACAATTGTCCCCGCTGTCTCCAACATGAACAGAGTGAAATTGAATTCTTCGTCAAGATGCAGAGTACCAGCAGCTAGATGGTAGGATGGTGTGCACCTTTACTAGGGTTAGGTGCGAAGTGCCCGGAAAAGTATACCGAAGAATGATACACCCTCTGGGCCCCTATCGAGGAGCTTGCAGAGCAAGAACTAGACACACTTAGAAAGGAGATTGTAGAGCAAGAAGTAGATACACTTACAGAGGTTATATTGTTTGCAGGTACCATCAAAGTAGCATCCTGGGATGAAGAATTTGGCCTGCTTCCTTGATCTGATACGTTCTTCTGAGCACGGAGATGTATGGAATGATGGTGTTATGGTGCAAGGTGTAACCCATATTGATGGTTTTCTCTCGAATGATGCACAACACTCCTTTCTCCAAAAGGACAGCTGTACAGTGCGCTTCTGCATCGAGGATCACATCCCCTACTCCAGAAGAGGGGATGGTGATCCTTACTCTCGTGCGAGCGCAAGTATGGCTTCCACGTCTCTGAGAGACTTGTACATAGTCTTCTGCATGGAGGTCTATACACCTGTCCCTTCTCCAGAAGAGTGCACTGCACCAGTGCCCTGTTATGGAATCATATGTATATTAATTACTTCATATTACATATTTGACTTTAGATATTTAACTTTATTGATATGAGATAAAATCGATTGATAATATATCATCTATAGATAAGAATATATCATCTATAGATAAGAATATATCATCTATAGATAAGAATATATCATCTATAGATAAAAATCTATTAAATTTCATTATTCTATGTAAAAATGAATATAATCAATTAAAATAGAAATTCAAATGAAGGAATGAATAAAAGAATCTATACTCAATAGCATTGAATATTCTCTGATTATTTAGACTTTATTATTCTATTATTAGTATATTGATATATTGCTATAGATTTGTATCTTCAATTAATGGATATGTACATATCATGAATGAATATATTTTTTAATTGTATATAATTTGATAATAGTACAAGTACAGTCGGTTTCCATTTTCTCCCTACCGTTTTCCCCCGAACATAACGCACCCTAAAAATGAATGTATACGAGTTATACTTCCGGCCAGATACAGCCAAAATGAGGGCGCGTTGTGTTCGGGGGAAGACGGTAGTCATAGGGGATTTTCCTGTCTGCAAGAGATTTTGTCCGTAACTCTTCTGCATGTGAGTGTCATTTATCTATCCCTGCTTGAGGAGAAGGGACTGTGTCAGCACACTGTGATCTCTCCTTCAGTGCATGCACGAGTACAGTTGATTTTGGTTCTGAAGAATCTGAACACCATTATTTGTGTGAGGAGTGTTATGGGAGGGCTTTGGTGTCGATATGTGGGAGGAATGTCCCACATTTCTCAGCTGTCCACTCTTTTGCATGGGTCCTGGAGACCATCTCACGCAGATGTGTACATGTCATGCATCATCTTCACACGCAGTGATCAATAATCTCAACCATAAACAAAGGTAGAGAAGAGAAGGACCGAGTATCACAGCTTATATTATCAAAAATATGAATACAAAGTGTTTCAAAGTTCCCCTGAGTCCAGCGCTCATCAGCTCAACACCAMTATCTTGCCAACTCATCAATATGACTTCCAGTGAATCAGCGCTACCGCTGCAGATAGTCTCCAAGTCATCAATGTGGTCACTACTCATCAGCGCCACCTCTGCAGGTCACATCCAACTCAGGTAAGTATCTTCCATAGCCAAACCTTGAATGAACACTCTCAGCCTCAATCCCTTCCTCCTATGATGCATACACACTCTTCAATACTCATGAGGATCTACTCTGGATACTACTCATAGCTACATACTGACCCTCTACTACTAATGCTAACTCGCTGGGCAGCTATGGCTGCATCACTTCCAGCGTACAGGCATCTTCCTCCCTCCAGTGCGTCTTCTCCTCCAGCGCTGCTCCTCCTGACTCAGCGCACAAGTGCACCAGCACTTCCACGCATTGCAGCCAGTGGAGATCTGGCGAGGAATGAGGCAGGCAGCTCTTTTTATAGTGCTGGCCACTCCTCGCTGGGTCTGCCTTGGCTCAATCCAGCCTCTCCCTTTGTCCCAGACCCTGCATTGCATGTGTCCCAGTACAGTCCCAATGAGATTCAACTGCTGCTGAGGCACTTCGGCCTGGATTTGGACTTGAAAGTCTGGATCTGGACTGACCCCTTGACTTAGACCAGAACTGGGACTGTGCCTACTGACTTCACTTTCGGACAGGCACAACTCTAAACGAACAGACACATTTACTCCTTGAACAGGCACTTTCCATTGCACGAACAGGTACACTGCCTACACGTACAGACACACGCTTACTCGAACAGACATGACATACACATCTCCTGGTGAACAGGTAAGTCTTTTGACAATGCCCTTGCCTTAGATTTAGATGTGCCTGTTGATAGAGAACTTGACTTTTGACCTGTTTTCACGTTTCTGAGCCCTGGCAAGATACCTTTTCACAATGCTTTACTTTTACAAGGCCCGTGCTGCTCTATTTTTACAAGGCCTGAGGCCTATATCGGGTAAAGGCCCTTTTACTTTATGTATGTGCTCCCATCACGCTCTCCTTCCCTCTCCCCCCCCCCTCGATCGTGGCTCCATCTTCACCACTTCGGCTCCTTTTCTTTCTCCTCGTCTTCAGGGAGAGATATCTGTGCAGTTGTTTAACAATGGGTAGGCCTGCCTGTTAGCGCTCGTTGGCTTTATCTTTTGTTCTGTGGGTAGGCCTGCCTGTTAGCGCTCGTTGGCTTTATCTTTTGCTCTGTGGGTAGGCCTGCCTGCTCATTGGCTTTATCTTTTGCTCTGTGGGTAGGCCTGCCTGTTAGCGCTCGTTGGCTTTATCTTTTGCTCTGTGGGTGAATCATGCATTGTTTTGGGAGTGGCGAGATGTGTGCTGTTTGTGTGCGAAGGTGTGGCATTGAGAGCCCTTTCTGTAGCAACTGTGAAAGCCTCTGTGATCAAACTAATTTCTTTGAATTATCTGTTTGGCCGCTCTCTGTTTGCGTGTTATAGTCTCTGCAAGCTTTGGAGAAGATATCACATGAGCATCCAACTGCAGTCCTTCGCGCTGGTGGACTAATGGCTGTTTTGTCGTACCTGGATTTCTTCTCTACAGGTGTGCAGGTAAGCATACTTTCGGAGATTGTGTGCCCTAACTAGAATGGAGGACGTGTTCTGGTTCAACTCCTGCCGTTGTGGAAAGAATAGCAGTGCTATCCTGTGTCCTGTGGTGTCAAAGTTTTCATAATGGCTGTTCTTTGGAAGCTTTCCTGTATTTCACCTACCACATCCTCTGTTCCCTTAGGAAATGAAAAAAACGCTTTTCAACTGAGCTGTTGGCACCTCTTTTCTCTTAGCTATTGGCACCTCTATTCTTCATGCTGTGTCGGGCCAGTGTGCCCTGAGAAATGAAGTCCTTTTCTCTCAGCTATTGGCACCTCTGTGCTTCATGCCGCTGTTTGTAATGTAATGGCTGTTTTACGGTACTTTGATCTTCCTCTACGGATGCGCATGTGAGCACAAGATCCTGTTCATGTGCGTTTGCCAAGGTAGAAAGCTTTCCTGTGAGACTGCAGGCAGTCAGGGGAACGGCTGTCGTCCTGTGTACTTCAGTATCCTTGGTTTTGTTTGTTGTTTTGTTATTTTCAGAAAACTCTTGTGCTTCATTATCATTGTAGGTGTCTTAAGCAATGCTACTCCAGGGCTGTATTGCCCCTGACAGCAGACATGGATGGCCGACCGAGGAGCTGTTGAGTGTTTGGTCGTTTGCGGCCAGGGACTGGCTGATGGGTAGGGTAGGGCAAACGTACTGAAGTTGGCCTGCAGGGTCTGTGGAGGTGCGTAACCCTCGTGAGTTTCATATTTGGAGCATGTCTCTGGCCAGTGGAGGAGGGTGGTGTTGTTGTGGTTGCTTCTGACTTAATGGAGGGACATCACATTAGGTCGAGGAGGAAGAGCCGTCAAGAAGGATGGGGAGTGAATGACCAGGAGGTGGGAAAGAAGAGCGAATTTGATGGGTAGCAGAAATCAGCTGAACGAGGCTACACGGTCGGTGGTGAGACGAAGGAAAGGGGGAGTGATAGGCATTTGCTGCGCACCATGCAGTGACATAGCGGGTAGCCAAGTAGTAATAGTAGTCGTATATGAAGAAGAAGAGGATGAAGAAGAAGAAGAAGAAGGAAAGGTGTGGGGGAGGGTTTCACAGCGCAGTATTAGGCATTCTCTGTGCACCATGTGGCGATGCAGTGGAAAACCAAATGAAGAAGGAGAAAGAGAAGTTTGCCAAAATGGCAGGTATGGGAGGGGGGTTCTCAGCGAAGCATGTGGGAGTGTGATGACAAAGCAAGGGACGCCGCTTAAGAAAAAAGGCGTATGGGAGGAATGAACACTGCATAGCGTGTATTTACTGACCGAGATGTGAAGCCAAAGAAAGATGGTTGGGTGGTTGATGGCTGAGGTGGGCAATGATGGGGAAGTGATGCGGAATTGGGCAATAGTGGGGGATTTGGATAAAGAGTCGGGGATTCCTGATGTGGGAGTTTTGTCAATCTGGCATCTTGTGAGCATTTTAGAATCAGCCCCTTCATTGTGAGCCCGTTCACGCCAGTAGTAAATTTTTTTGGCTGTTTGCCTGTTGATGACGTGCACGTAGATTTGTCCCGAGATTGACATCTAGAGATATACTAGAATCCTCACAGTTAGCAATGTAAAAAAAATTATCTATCAAGATAATCAAGTGCAGTTTTTGGTAGGTTTTATTCCGCTGTCATTTGCAAGTGTTGAAACCATGATGTGGTCCATTGTTCGTGGTGGAGTTGCTGGTTTATACTCAGTCATTGCTGACTGGACCTCTGTTGTGATGTTATGCAGAGAGTGGCAGTCTCCACTGCGGCCAATATATGTCGTCAGCTGCCTTCAGACTGCAGCGATCTTGTTTTGGAGGTTGTCCCTATTCTAACTAATCTTCTCCAGTACCAAGATGCAAAGGTGGGTTGATGATTAACTCTGCTATTATCACCTGTGAAACAACATCGCTACAGTGTCATGTGTAGAGTTTCCTCAAAGCTACCTGCAATTCATTCCTGCTTGTTCTGTTATCTGCCTGCTTTCGGGAATTGGGTTGGGGGGGGGGGGGGGGGGGG